CTGGCGCGCGGAGCGCGCCAAGGGCGGCGCCGGAAGCGCCGCCAGGAGGCCCCAGCGCGGATCCGAGAAATCAATGCGGAGCGGAAAAAATATGAGTGTGGCGTTACCATCTTCTTCGATATGTTCGATTTTGTGTGTTTTTGATGCCCGATGATCCAAGATGCGTCTCGATGGTCCTCGCGGCGAAAAAATGCACACGTCCGAGCGGTGGCAAAAGCTGGGGGGCCGCCTCCCGCCGGCTCCCCGGGCTGGTGCTCTGCTTTCCGCGGTGCCCCCCTCGCATCACAGACGTGCCCGCGGGAGGCCCCCCTGCGCCGCGGCCTGGCCAGGTGGCACCTGCCGCCACGAGACCGACCACTCTTTATCCCAGACTTGCTTTTCGGAAAAGCAAATCTGGGATAAAAGAATTTTTAATCGTCGGATCCGACGAAGAAAAACCACTTTTATCTCCCACGGATCCGACGAGGAAAAGCCTTTTCCTCGTCGGATCCGTGGGAGATGCGCAGAAGTTGCGCAGATCTACTGACCAGTCTGAGTACTCGTTGGCAGATTCGACATGACATCCATTTGGGGGTAAGTCTAGAGAGTTAGCCTGGCGAAGGACCCAACCATACGTAATTGTGGATACAGCAATTGTGAATACCATCTTCGCCCGCGCTCCCTATGTGGCCACGGCTTCCCGCCGGAGCCCGACATGCTCAGGGACACGTTTGTGGCCGTTTTCGCGGGCGCCGACGACCAGGAGGACGGCGTCCCCCTGACCGAAAAGCAGAAGCAGGAAAGGGTTCTGAGAGCCATGAGGGAGACTGCCATTGGCGCCTTCGGTGGAGCTCCTATGGGGCCACGATCCTCATGAGGGGTGTGCCGAAATGGCCCGAGGCCTCCATGCGAACCCTGCCACTGGGGGCCTTCGGTGGAGCTCCCTATGGGGCCACGATCCTCGTGAGGGGTGTGCCGAAATGGCCCGAGGCCGCCATGCGAACCCTGCCACTGGGGCCTTCGATGGAGCTCCCTATGGGGCCACGATCCTCATGAGGGGTGTGCCGAAATGGCCCGGGGCCGCCATGCGAAAGCTGCCACTGAGGCCTTCGGTGGAGCTCCCTTATGGGGCCACGATCCTCGTGAGGGGTGTGCCGAAATGGCCCAGGGCCGCCATGCGAACGCTGCCACTGGGGCCTTCGGCTATGGGGCCACGATCCTCGTGAGGTGTGCCGAAATGGGGCGGGGCCGCCATGCGAACGCTGCCACTGGCGCCTTCGGTGGAGCTCCCTATGGGGCCACGATCCTCGTGAGGGGTGTGCCGAAATGGCCCGGGGCCGCCATGCGAACGCTGCCACTGGCGCCTTCGGTGGAGCTCCCTATGGGGCCACGATCCTCGTGAGGGGTGTGCCGAAATGGCCCGGGCCGCCATGCGAACCCTGCCACTGGGCCTTCGGTGGAGCTCCCTATGGGGCCACGATCCTCGTGAGGGGTGTGCCGAAATGGCCCGGGGCCGCCATGCGAACGCTGCCACTGGGCCTTCGGTGGAGCTCCCTATGGGGCCACGATCCTCGTGAGGGGTGTGCCGAAATGGGGCGGGGCCGCCATGCGAACCCTGCCACTGGGGCCTTCGGTGGAGCTCCCTATGGGGCCACGATCCTCGTGAGGGGTGTGCCGAAATGGGGCGGGGCCACATGCGAACGCTGCCACTGGGGCCTTCGGTGGAGCTCCCTATGGGGCCACGATCCTCGTGAGGGGTGTGCCGAAATGGCCCGGGGCCGCCATGCGAACGCTGCCACTGGGGCCTTCGGTGGAGCTCCCTATGGGGCCACGATCCTCGTGAGGGGTGTGCCGAAATGGCCCGGGGCCGCCATGCGAACGCTGCCACTGGGGCCTTCGGTGGAGCTCCCTATGGGGCCACGATCCTCGTAAGGGGTGTGCCGAAATGGGGCGGGACCGCCATGCGAACGCAGCCACTGGAGCCTTCAGTGGAGCTCCCTATGGGGCCACGAAACGTTGTACTGCGTGGGTGAAACGCAGGGAAGAGGGGGGAGGAGGGGGAGGAGGGGAGGAGAGGAGAGGAGGAGGAGGAGGAGGAGGAGGAGGAGGAGGAGGAGGAGGAGGAGGAGGAGGAGGAGAAACGCGGGGCGACGTCTCTTCAAAACGAGGACCCAACACCACAGGATGGTTGGGAAAAAAACAGCATAATCATGAACTTTTGGCGCTGCGCGCAGATTTCCTGGATCTGCGCTGGACCCCCCTCCCTGGCGCGCGAAGCGCGCCAGAGGCGGCGCCGGAGGCGGCGCCAGGGGGTCCCATTTTGCTTCACGTCGACGTCGCCGACGCACTGCCGACGTCGACGATGCATCGCCGGTGCATCGCCGATACATCGGTGATGTATCGCCGATGCATTGGCGATGCGGCGAGATCCTCCAACCCCATCTACTCCGACCCCATCTACTCCAACCCCTTCTGAAAAGTTTCCTGTGTCCTCAGGGAAGGCTTAGAAAACTTCTCAGAAGGCCAGGGGACTTCCGAGCCTGCCGAGAAGGCCCGCCCCTTCTCACTTCCCCCTGGGTTCGCCGCCGAGGTGCCCCAAAATCCCACCAGTCCTCTGGGCGTAGGTAGTCTAGGGAGGCTCCTGTTCCAACCCCTCCCTCTTCCCCTTCGGGAAAGGTTTAACCCCACTCCCGACCCCCCCCCCTGGACCTGGATGGGGGGGTTCGCGAGGCGTTGGAGCGTCCAAGATGGCCCAGGATGGCTCTAGGAGGGCCTCAAAGAGGCAACTCGCCTGGGCATCGTTTCTGGATGGGCTGGGGGGATACTTTTGGTACGCGGGCGCGCGAAGCGGGTCGAACGCCAGGCAAGCGCGTTTCCGAACCAGCGGCCTCGATGACTTCGCGATTCTGATATTGCGCTCTCGCGCATATGAATTTGATAAGTCAGCAGTGATTAGCCTGTAGCACTGTTTGACGAAGCTGCGGTTGCAGTCGTCGAAAGCGATTCGACATGAATCGAACGACCCTGACAAATGTCACTCAAACCACTGCTTGCGTCCGAGTGCTATCTGCTGATGTACCGCTGCAACTCACAATGTGTGTTCCTCCCCTGGTACAAGTAGTTGGCCCGTCATTCTAACTCATAGGCTTCCTCCTCTTCCTCGTTCATATCCTCTCTTTCATCCTTTGCCTCCTCCTCCTCCTGCTCCCATTCCGCTCTGCCCCTCTCCCTTCACCTCCCCCTTCATCTCCCCCATTCATCTCCTCATTACCCATCCTTCCCTTCCTCTTCTCCTCTCCTCTCAGAACCCAGAAATCGCCTTTCCGATTAGTCCCCCGAAACCACGAACTGTACAGCTCCGTTCGTTTCTCTCGGGCACCACATCAGTCCATGGCTCCATACTCGGAGTTCCAGAATCCCGAGTTCTCGACTCTGGATTTCTGTGTCTCTCACATCTTCCCATTCCCCCCCTGATTCCCTTCCTCCCGCCTGTCCTCCTCCTCCTCCTCCTCCTCCTGCTCCTCCTCCTCCTCCTCCTCCTCCTCCTCCTCCTCCTCCTCCTCCTCCTCCTCCTCCTCCTCCTACCCCGTCTTCCGCCGTTACACCCCTTTCCCTCCCCCCCCCTCTTCCTCCCCCCTCTCCTCCTCTCTGCTCGTCCTCTCCTGTAGTGGCCCGCCTGCCCCTGGAGGTCGGCGGAGTCGCCACTGGCCTCGGCGACGCCAACAACGGCGGGGGCATCCAGGGGGCTGGCAGGGGGGCAGGAAGAGGAGGACACACGATGGGACACCGTTTCGGACCTGACCCAAAAAAGGCGGAAGACCTCATGGCCGAAAGCACTGCCTTCTCACGTACGCCTGGGAGGGCGCATGAGGCAGGCAAGAAGTACCCTGCGACTTACCCAAGCCAAGCTTGCACCTATTGACCAGAACGGTCGGCCGATATGAATATGGATAGCTGCAACGGCAATGCAAAAACCGCTTGGGTTGTGGAAACTACACGGGGTGCGCGTGCCACACGACTCACAGGACACCAGTAGTAGGACGAGGAGTGAGGCCCCAGGCTTCAGCCCCCAGCTGCAACGAGGTCACATCGAACCTGAAAGAAACGTCACTGCGCTGGAGCAACGACAGTGGCGACAATGTCGCAGTTCGCAACAAAGGCGACGGCGAGGTCTGAACTGATCTGGATGAAACGTCTCTCCGCTGGACCCCCCAAAAGCCCACGAAAACGGCGACGCTGGACCTCGCAAGAGCCCGCGAAACTGGCGACAACTACACTGTCCGCACCCCCGCAATAGCCACGAGGTCAAGTCTGGGAATGCGTAGGACACCCCTCCGCTGACCCCCCAGGGCCCACGAAAGTGGCGACCTTTGCGCAACTCGCAACCCCCGAAAAGCCGCGAGATACAGTCTGGGTCTGCGTAGGACACCCTTCCGCTGGACCCCCCAGGAGCCACCAAAAAGGCGACAACTGCGCAATTCGCAGCCCCCCAAGGAACCGCGGGATCGGGTCCAGTCTGTAATCGCGCAGCGCGGGACACCCCTTTCACTGGAGCTCCCAGGAACCCAGGAAAATGGCGACAACTGCGCTGTTCGCAGCCCAAAGAACCGCGAGGTCCAATCTCTCTTCGGAACAAGGACCCAGCCATAAGGAGGCCGGGAAAAACTGGCCATGGGGCGCACGAGGCGCGCCGCTGAAACACATCGAACACACATGGAGAAGCCAGGCAAGGAAGAAGCCCCGAAGGGCAAAATGATTCAAAGCCTGGAAGACAAGGGTACGAGGGGGCGGTAGGCCTCTTGGCCGCCGTCCTCGTCCTGCCAGCGGTTCCCACGGCGTTTCCGAGGAACGGCCCTGTCACCTCAATGCGAAAGAGAAACCGGCATATCCGCTGAACTTCTGCGGCGATTGTTGGTCGCAATTCCAGAAAATCGATGGGCCTGGGCATTGCCAGCGACCCTCCAGGCCCCAACCTCCGACGCCGGGTTCTCTTGCATACCGTGGAGCGCCACCCGCCCCCCATGGCCCCCGTGACGACCACGGACGTGTGCGGCCTCGGCAAAGACGGGCTCGTCGACCTGGCCTGGCACCTACGCCTCAACTGCGGCCTGGCCATGCACCTGCGCTGGATCGGCCCGTGCCCGCTACAGCCAGGCCCTTGTTGCGCTGGACCCTTAAGACCACGAGGTCGGCCAACTCTGGGGCTCCCTCATCATCGTCTGACAGCGCGGCATGGGGCGGAGATACGGGATCACCGACCTCAACCACTGACCCTGGCCCTACCAATCGAGGCAGTTCATGTTCGCCCACCTGGTCGTCATCGACCCCAGCGCACGCGGATAACCTGGACCTTCCCGAGGACGTGCTCTCCTCGCCTTCACGCAGACGCTCCGTCAGCACGGTTTCCAGACGTGGCTGCAATTGCGCAAAGCACCTGGTCCAGATCGGCACGCACGAGGTCACACCTGATTTCCTGCACGTAGACGCTGGGCGGGCCACCCTATCTACGCCTCGCCCGCTCCTCGACCTGGTTCCGCAAGACCTGCCGACCCGCCCGCCGCCGTCAAAGCGGAACGCCCGTTCCCTGGACTCACGCACGGACTTCAGGCGGGCCCCCGGGGCCAACAGGCAAGAAAGGACGGCGCAGCACGATACGGTCGACTACGCTCGGTCCGCGGACCTCACCATCGACAGCGCGCAGAAGTCCTGGATCGACGGGCGACAGCGGCGGGCAGTAGCCCAGCAGCTCTACCACTTTTCGACAATTCGAGACCCACGCCGCAGGCCCCTGGGAGATTGCGCCGAATTCCTGGTCACCATTTACGGCCCGAAAGTCCCTGAGGACTGAATGCCGCTAGCCCATGTGGTCAACTACCTCACCACGGCGATTCATCGGGGTGGAGCAGGGCCCCGAGAGCAGTGACAGGCCTCATTTGAATCTGAAGCCTTGCACCGCGGCGCCGACCCCTGGAACACTCCATCGGGCGCCAGGAACGCTTCCTGGCATCAGTCAGTACAGGCAGCCGGGGAGCACGGCACTGGCCCCATACGCGTCCCCCACGACTGCCTGCCCACGCGACACAAAGGACGCCGTCCCGGAGGCTGCCCGAAGGCGGCTCTAAGCACTTCATCTGCAGGAACTCTACGAAGTCGACAGCGCCGTAGTTCCTCCAAATGTGGGGAGTAGCTGTTCTGCGGTAGCCGTGCCACTGGAGAAAAAAAAAAAGAAACAACAGCAAGGTGAGCGAGAGAAGTAGAGCAGGAAAGCGTTGTTCGCAAGAGGCCAAGTCCATGGGGCCAGGCTGCTGGTGTCACTACCAGCACGGCAGCGCCCAGCGGCTGGGAGAGCGACGTCAGTGCCGCGCCCAGGGGGCAGGACGACCCCCCCAGCCTGGGCGCGGGCCCCACGGCCCCCCAGTTCCCCAGGACCAAAGGCAGCCATTCCCCAGCAGTGGCCCCAGCACCGCGGCGACGAGCGCCCCCTGCAGCTCGCAAACTGGGGAGGCAAGAATGGACCAGCGGCCTCCACGGCACATGGACCCACAGACTGGATGTTTCAAGGATGGGGTCCCGAGTGATGAGGTCCTTAGGATGGGTTGCGACTCAAAGGTGGGTCTGCATTGCTTGAGGCACCTCGTCCTTGGGACCCCATCCCTCAGAACCCCATCCTTGAATCACCGACAAACGACAGCAGCAGCGACGTGGACAAGCAACCAGGTTTTTTGCGACGCGCGCGCTGAGCGGTCGTGGCGCCGCGCGGCGGCGCCAAACGCCTCGAGAGGCGGTGCCCGGATCAGGCGAGTGCACCTAATTGGCGGGGGAGCCCGCCACACACGAACCGCACAGGGGAATGCAGGGCTGCGCGTGTGAAGGGCAGCTGCCTCCGAAAGAAGCGTCATTGGCAGCACACCGCATGACGGGGCGGGGCCCAGGCAGCACGGCTAGCAAGCAACCAGGCACCCCGCCAGCCCACTGCGACCCGGAACGGAACCGCCTTCGCCTGCCTCGCCAAAGGACGCGGACACCAGTCCAGCCGACGGCACAGCGGAGGGCGCAGCGCCCCAGCAGTCCCAAGGGCCACCGCCGCCCACACCACTAGCGGCAGCCAGCAACCCGGCAAAGGCTGAGTGGCCTGGGGGCGTCCCAAGGGCATACCCAGCCTCGCGAAGGTTCTCGCAAGCGTGGGATCGCTGGCGAGCCAGTCGATGGGGCCCCCGCGGGCGCGGTGCGCTCGCAGCCAGCTCTGCAAGCACCGTGGGGGGGATCCTGGGCATCCACTCAGCGGCAGACGAGCAGGACCAGGGGGCGGTACCGTGGATCCACCTCCAGCGGCGAGAACGCCTCCAGCCGACCGCACTTCGAAGGCCCCGCTGGAGCACCGCTCTACAAGAAGCACCGGTGCCAGATATAGTGTGAGCCTGGATACTTTTATTACTACTGGGGCGAAGTCCGCTACAACGACAAGCGCCCGGAGTCCCCCTCCCAGGTGGTCTTTCGGCTGCAGAAATAGGCAGGAGCAGTGTTCGTCGGAAGGTGGCACGCTTGGTGCCACGAGGACGCCGAACTCGACGGGCCTACGACCCGCGCCGTCAGCCTGGAGTAGCCAGGTTCTGCCAGAACTGCCTCACCTCGCTCCGCGATTTCTGCTACGACGTAGCCGCCCTGGCAGACGGCTGGAGGTCGACTGGGAGGCCACTCAGCACCACCACACGCCGCACATCAGCGACCCACGCTGAGGTGGGGGCGCTGGCGGCAAGCACTCTGCCGACGCGGGCTCGGCTGACGCGAAGCGCCTTCGGGGTGTGTAAGCCCTGGGCTCCCTGGGCCCACCCCTGCGTGCTACGCTGCCAGGACCTGCGCAAGTCTGTTGCAAGAGAGCTGACGGCAAGCACCCTGCCAGCACGGGCGAAGCCGACACCAAGAGCCTCGGAGTGTGTAAGCCCTGGACTATCTGGACTCACCCCCTACGTGCTACGCGGCCTGGACCAACTCCCCGCAGAGCAAATTACATTAGCAGTGCGCGTCACCCCAGACTAACTCTCTTCTCAGTTCCTGGGCCGATCATGTGCCCTGGTTTCGGCCTGGTGCGTGGTAAACCATCCTGGACCCCGCGCCATCTAAACCAATCTGGCACCGATGACATGCTCCGTGTGCGCTGGTTGCGCGGCGATCCGTCCGCCAGCCATCCGGCTGCTCCGATTGTTTCGAAGCGCGGGCCCCAGAGGTCCAGACCACCTCCCTGGGGTTGGTTCGTCGTCCTGATCGTTTTTGGACGATCCCGAGGCCCAGCGAGGGCCCCCAAAGCCCCAAACTGCCAAGATCCCACCGCCTCCGACTTTTGTTGGAGCGTCGGATATCTGGGAGGATCCTGCAGGATCTTGCAGGATCCTGCAAGGCCTGCTTGACCCGGGTCAGATCGCCTTTCCTTCGGGACCCGCGCCTGGGCGAGGAGGAGGAGGAGGAGGAGGAGGCGGAGGCGGAGGAGGAGGAGGCGGAGGAGGAGGACGAGGAGGAGGAAGAGGAGGAGGAGGAGGAGGAGGAGGAGGAGGAGGAGGAGGTAGAGGAGGTAGGGGAGGAGGTAGAGGAGGTGGAGGAGATGAGGGGGAGGAGGTAGAGAAGCTGGAGCGTCGGATCTCTGGGTCCTGGGCCCCGCTGCGTCTCCACTGGTCCTGGCACCGATCGTGGCGCCCTCTCTCGCGGCCCCTCGTGGCGCGGCGGCTCCTCCCCCCCGCCCCGCTCGCCTCCGCCCCCCCTCGTCGTCGCCTCCCTCTCCCTCGGCCGCCATGGCTACCGCCTGCTGCGCAGGCCCCTCGTTTTGCTCATCGACAGTCGGCGGAGGAGTAGGAGTAGGAGTAGGAGTAGGAGTAGGAGTAGGAGTAGGAGTAGGAGTAGGAGTAGGAGTAGGAGTAGGAGTAGGAGTAGGAGTAGGAGTAGGAGTAGGAGTAGGAGGAGGAGTAAAAGTAGGAGTAGGAGTAGGAGTAGGAGTAGGAGTAGGAGTAGGAGTAGGAGTCAAGCTAGCCAGCTCGAGCGAGTCAAGCATGGCATGCCCAGTCCCACCCGCCCTCCCACAACATAAGAAGCAAAGCTGGCACAACTGGGGGCCGAAGTCACACCGGCCAGCCGGTTTGGTACAGCTGATGCGGCCGCGATGGCGGTTGCCGACGGGAACTGGCGAGCGCGTGTTGAATGCCGCGCACGCATTGCCAGACGAGTCGAGAATGGCCCGGTACACCGCAGGAAGCCAGAGGTGGCCGGAGGAAGCCCGACGGTCTGACAGGACACCCCAAAGCATTTTTGTAAAAAGCATTGGGTTTTTGATGTTTTTATGTTGAAATGCTTGCAAACACACGGTGTTCGGTAGGATTCTGACATGAACGCGCGAGTGTGCTCTTTGTGGCATTTTTTGCACAGGATTCGCGGCCTGGGTCCATGACAGAGCATCGCGAGTGCACCGCGCGATGACGTGAAATCGCTGGATTTGACCGAATTCTTAAGATTCCTATGGTTTTCCTATGATTTCAGCAAGAGAGCCCGGGCGGGAAATTTGTACATTTTTTTGTGAAAAAGCATTGGGTTTTTGATGTTTTTATGTTGAAATGCTTGCAAACACACGGTGTTCGGTAGGATTCTGACATGAACGCGCGCGTGTGCTCTTTGTGGTATTTTTTGCAATGGATTATCGCCGTGGACGACAGGACGTCCATGTCGAGAGGAAAAAATAAGAAAAATGTTGATTTTGTATTGTTTTTTACAGGTTAGGATGGGACCACCCGGATGCGCCCGCTATCTGCCGGCCTGAGGGGGGAGTAGGAGAATATTCTAATAAGGAATAAGGATAGGAGTAGGAGTAGGAGTAGGAGTAGGAGTAGGAGTAGGAGTAGGAGTAAGAGTCAAGCTAGCCAGCTCGAGCGAGTCAAGCATGGCATGCCCAGTCCCACCCGCCCTCCCACAACAAAAGAAGCAAAGCTGGCACAACTGGGGGCCGAAGTCACACCGGCCAGCCGGTTTGGTACAGCTGTTGCGGCCGCGATGGCGGTTGCCGACGGGAACTGGCGAGCGCGTGTTGAATGCCGCGCACGCATTGCCAGACGAGTCGAGAATGGCCCGGTACACCGCAGGAAGCCAGAGGTGGCCGGAGGAAGCCCGACGGTCTGACAGGACACCCCAAAGCATTTTTGTGAAAAAACATTGGGTTTTTGATGTTTTTATGTTGAAATGCTTGCAAACACACGGTGTTCGGTAGGATTCTGACATGAACGCGCGAGTGTGCTCTTTGTGGCATTTTTGCACAGGATTCGCGGCCTGGGTGCATGACAGAGCATCGCGAGTGCACCGCGCGATGACGTGAAATCGCTGGATTTGACCGAATTCTTAAGATTCCTATGGTTTTCCTATGATTTCAGCAAGAGAGCCCGGGCGGGAAATTTGTACAATTTTTGTGAAAAAGCATTGGGTTTTTGATGTTTTTATGTTGAAATGCTTGCAAACACACGGTGTTCGGTAGGATTCTGACATGAACGCGCGCGTGCTCTTTGTGGTATTTTTTGCAATGGATTATCGCCGTGGACGACAGGACGTCCATGTCGAGAGGAAAAAATAAGAAAAATGTTGATTTTGTATTGTTTTTTACAGGTTAGGATGGGACCCCCCGGATGCGGCCCCTAATGGCCGGCCTGAGGGGGGAGTAGGAGTATATTCTAATAAGGAATAAGGATAGGAGTAGGAGTAGGAGTAGTAGGAGTAGGAGTAGGAGTAGGAGTAGGAGTAGGAGTAGGAGTAGGAGTAGGAGTAGGAGTAGGAGTAGGAGTCCAGCTAGCCAGCTCGA